GAATTATATGCGTTAAATGCCAGTTAGCAGCAGCACTTTTTCGGCAAAGATATTTCTTTAACAACGGACTCCTCATAACGTCTACAATTACGTATCAAATAATGTAAAAATAATCGTAGAAAGATTGAAATATATACTTTGTACGGGATAGGCTACTAGCTTATTTTAGTCGAGAATATGTTGTAATATTAAGAACTTTTTCTTTCTATGAGTGGATACATATGTAGAATTGAAATATCTGGATTGACTTTAGTGATGTGAAGAATTAGTCAATTCGTTAAAATAGGGCCGCTATCAAGGCTTTGGATTAAATTTCAAACTGTATCCAGTAGCCGTAAAATTATGATACATTACAGCTAGTTAATCGCTGCAACGAATCTTGTGTTCTATTGACAGGAATCATCCGCTATAATTACAAATATATTTGATACCCAACTTTTTCTAAGAGAATTATATTATAATTAGGATATGTAAACTTTACATCTATATACAAAATGAATTTTATTAGCTTATAATTTCCTTCAAAGAATTTATTGAGTGTTAGGCAAAGAATAGATGCAGTTATAGTTCAACACTTATAATAATGAATTGATCATAGTTTAAGATGGTCAATCTCAAGTTGCCGAGCAGTTAATTAGTGTTAATGTTTAATATGGGATATCCATGTTCATATTTTAATTCTTGAATTAATGTCATTCTTGTGGTAATAACCTCATATTGTATATTAATAACAATGGAAATATTGTTAATTTATTGGCATGCTAGAGACCATAAGAAAAATCTTAATCATAATATGGTTTTAGTAGGAGTTTGGTAGAAGCGTATAGTGCTATCTCACTATAATATTTGAACATTAAATTATGTAATTGCTGTAATCAAATATAATACCTATCATTAGCTAGTGAAGCATTATCCAATACTTAACATACTGAACCTCCTTACAGAGACCTTATTGACATTTGCTTTTAAAAATACTTAGGCACATCTAGCAGAACTTTTAGCAGCGCTATAGGCCTTTGTTTCTTGAATAACATTAGAATGAACTTAATTCGATAAAATATTTCCTGTATGACTTTTATGTCTTTCAATATTGTATTTAGATTAAATTAATAATTTATGTTATCTCGAACATTGAGTAGTTGCAAATGAAAAGACCATTACTATTATGTAAATTGTATTATGGAAAAATATGTTAGTAAATCAGATTTATTCGGAACTTGTGATGATTGTAGCATTGATGCTACTAGAAATAGTTACATCCAATTTTATTTGCGTTTCAAGTCTATTTTAATTGATAGGTTCGACTGGACATAGCTAAGAATTTTCAGACATCAGGTACTTTAGAGTGATAACAGCGAGATGTTGGAGATGGCAAATAAATAGGTAGTGCGATGCTATAAAGATTAGTCAAGAGATTTTACGTTCTGTTATCGAGTATTGCATAACAGTTATTTATCTAGCAAGCAATAATGAATATCATAGGGGATCTTAATTTTGAAATTGAATAGCTACCCTATTCTATATTGAAGGAATAGATACAGTACAATAAATACTCAATATTTAAACGTTATATATTTGAATCATATGATCATAAAGTATGACCAAAGAACACTGGAGTTTAAGAGATAGAATATGAGGTGTCTTTTTCTTTCGTAAATTTCTATTGATGCATGAGAAATATAGAGGAAAACGTATTTTAGCTCGTTAATATGGAAATATTTAAAATAGCGAAAATAAATAAATAAAGTAAATTTTTTAATTGTACAATAAAATGAGCATGCTAGTACTTGTTTGATATGGAGATTTTATATACTGTAAACGTACTGTGCTATATTCTAGATTTACATCATTCTGCTATTTGTAGATCTGTTGAATCATGCATTACTTGTGCAGTATCTTCTTACCATACATGTTCATACAATATTACAATTTAGATACTGTAATTATGTCTTTATATAAGCAATATGTTTATAATAGTCTGAGTGATAGATTGTACAATAATTTACATGTTCTATGATTGCATTGTAATTAGGATACCTACTTAATATGATTGTACTATAATAATTTATTGTATCTTACTCGTAATGTTCTGTAATGTAGATGAGCTATTTAAGCTGCATCTCTTGCTCTTGATAGGTTGCCTTTTGTCTTAGTCGTTTGCTAGTAGAGATAATAAATAACTAAACTTAATTCTACTTTTGATGCTTACTACGGAATACAGAACACTTAACATGTTGTTATTAATTATTAGCAATATACCGTTAGCGAACGATTTCATTTTTCTATCTGTAAAACAACATATTAAGAATAATAAAAAGTTTATTTTAATGCCCTAGTTCTACCAGATATGTCTGAAGACTTCTCGCTAATTATCCAGTTACGAGGTAGATGTACGTATTTCAAACTATGGAACCTGTCAATATGATTATGACTGAAATTCAAGTTCTAGTGAGCATTATTGAATTACAATTACACTCTAACAGCAAAATTTCAGCGATGCAGGTAGGACTACCAATGAAGATGTGTAGGAAAATAGATTCTATCGTAAGTCTCACTCCCCGGTAATCATGAGTACGATAGCTGCACTAGATCTGAGTAGACTAGTGGTGTTAAGGATTCCATTTTAGCGTCAAGATAATTATGGGCTCTTAAAGAAGGATATAACAGGCTGACTCTTTTAGGAAGTACAGTAGTTCAGTTGAAAGCTAGTTGTGTCTACTTTACGGTTCCAAGTTTTACTATTGTAATAATCAAGAACTGTTTGAAGTAATAAGCTAATTTTGACTACTACTTTGGGGAGTATTCATAGAGTGAGTAGTTTCAAAACTGGACTAGAAATAATACTGTATTAAAAGCACTGTTTGCATGCGCAAGTTTTCATCACCGATACTGCCATATTAATGCAGTAAATACATGTTTACAATCAACGATTGCATGAATAAAATTTTATTAGCGATACCACTATATTGATGCAATAAATGGTGTAACTATAACTGAGTATTATTGACAACCTTGTTTCTATACATTAGCTGAGCTGCTAGCCGCTTTACTTAGCATATTGATTTAGGTATAACTACCGATGAGAGGTAGGGGTAATGAAATGAATGGGTTCAATAACTCTTTAGGTTCGCAATTACCAATTCATAGTTTGAGTTGTTAAAACTGAGCAAATCTATAAGGCTACACAATTCATTAAACACGGGGTTTAACCCAAAGGTATTGTTTATTGGTAGTACGTCTGATGGAGAAGAATTTAGAATTCGGAATTCTTCCTTTCATAATAGCAGTTGAAAGTGGCTTAATAAAAAAAGCAATCAACTTAATTTTAACCTGTATGATAACAATTCCATATAACTTCAGAATGACATAAGTACATTACACATAAACATAACTTGATATTCGCTATCAGCCACGGCATTATACGTCCATAGTACGAATAGTACAAGTACACTGTTCATCATAACAGCCCTCATGCAATTAAATCATTAAGCGCCGCAAACTATTCTACTTCCTAGTTCTACAGATTAGCATAGATTGCATGTGTAAGACTTTATTAGCGATACTGCAGCATAGTATCTTTGCAACAGTGCATCTAGAGCTGGAAGTTGTCGACCACCTTACTATCACACTCTTACTCATGTGCTAGCAGCCGCCTTAAATTCCGCGTGCAGGTGTTTCACAAGTAGTATTGCATGGCAAGAATTCAATCAATCAATCCATAGAATCGGCTATGAAAGGTTTCAGGGAAATTTTATTGAACTTAATGTCATAGAATATATTATCGTTTTTATTTAATTCTATTTAAGAGATTCTATATTTATGCCAATATGTAATTATACCGATGGATACAGTTTGCAGTTATTTTTCGCCAATTATTAAAATGTTAATTTGCTTCATATCATTTGCTCTGGAAAATATTGCGTGGATTATATGAAAGTCACTACAATATGAACGTATTGCTACGTAAGTGTTAGATGGAAGATATCGAAAATATAGCAGTTGCTAATATTCATTGTGCAAACAATCGCTGAAATCCATCTAAAATTTTAGTTGATGGTATGCTATGAATGATAAATACATTGAATACAAACGTTACTATATTCTGTTATAGCATATAGCGTTATGGCAAATTTTGTTCTAGTTGCTTGTATTTTAGTCACCTAGGTAAGGTGCGGTATTAAATGATTCATATTATAGAATAGATACAAGATGGAGTAAATTAATTAGACTGGAACAACTTTTACAAGTTTAGCATTCTTATTGCAATTATAGAGGCTTGAAATAGTTAGGCATCCTTATTTCACCCATTTAACATTTCATTTCTAGTTGGTTTCACGTTAGCTGTGTTATTGTGCTTGGTAATTCCAATTCATTACTGCTATATACGCTGAAGTTTAGAACTCTTTTCAGCTTTTATTGCTATGCAGAGATTAACTGGTGCATATTACAGTATGCAATGGCAAGTATTGAAGTTGGAATCTGCTAAATAAATAAACTTAAAAGATATCTGACGTCTTGCTTCTTGGCATACGAGCAGATTGTTAGCCTCTAGCCTAGATCAATTATGCCTGATAGCAATTGCCAAGTGAGTGATAAATAGTTTTGGTGGCATAAGAAGCTAAAATTTCATTTGCACATGTTTAAGTACGCATATGGAATATTCGTAAATAAGGCGAATTAAAATTCTTAAATATCCACGAGGACTTAAAATTTGTCAATTTATTTAATGGATAAGCTCAACAACAGTAATTATCGTCGTGTCAACCATTTTACTAGAGAAATAGTGTTATTGAAAAATGCGGGCATGTAGGCCAATAAATCAAGGGATATTCCCTGATTCATTTTGCGTAACCGTAAATAATGAATAAACTAGATGATATTGACGATATACAGGTACAGTATTTTATAAGATCCTTATTGTATAGTTTTCAGGCAAGGAGGACCAGTAAATGAATTAATCATGCTATTCCAATGTCATGGAGAAAAGATTAGCCTTAATGCTAGTAAATTGGACAATTGATATACATTGCCTTTAGCCAATCGATAGTAATAGCACGAGATGCATAAGGAACAACGCGCTCTGCATCGGTATCCGATTGAATCATTTGTTCATTGGATGTCAAGCAACCACAAGTGATTACTTTCTTATATTGCCTTTTAAATTGTCCCATCATGACGCCATAAATAATAGGATTTGCTGCAGAATTAGAATAGAGAAGAGCCTGTGCCATAAAGTAGACACCGTCCGGTACATTGGCTTGGCCATTGGTGACTGGAAAAACAACAAATGCCATGATACTCCAAGGGGCATAGAGAATGAAAAAGGCAACAAATACAATCCACATCGTTAAAGTTACACGACGCTTACGATATTCATGCTTAACATTAGCTGATTCACGGAAGGATGCCAATCGCTGATGAGTTGCTCGAATATAGCGGTATATCTTCCAGTAGCATACAAATATAGTGGTTAGAGGTATTCCAAAGTCAAGAAATATTTCTAAAATTCCATTAATTAGACCACTAATGCCTTCTGAATAGCTTGGTATACAAGCTCTTTCACGTGGATCATATACAAATTTACTCCAACCCCAAAATGGCCATAAGGCTATAAATACTGTTATTAACCATATTAGCCCTATGGCGTAGAGTGCATGTCGATTGGATAGTTTGACAGATAATGATCGACATACAACGATATAACGAAAGACAGCAATACCAACCATAGAATAAACTGAGCCAATAAAGCAAACTCCGGTTAGAAATGCATGAAAGTGACATAAAGGATCATCGATTGCTTGACGATTTTCCATGATATTGATCAAATGGATCGGCAATCGTATAGTCACTGTGATAATATCTAATACAGCTAAGTTAAATAATAGATAGTTAGTAGGGGAGCGCATTTTTTTAGGTAATAAAATGGAAAAAACGACCATCAGATTGCCAAGCAAAGCCACCACACCTAATGTCGTTAATATTGCTCCTTTAACAATGGTAAATTCGATAGATTCTGATAAAATATTGGACGTGTTGCTGCCGTCATAAATTTCGTTTTCCATTTTTTCTTTTACGTTATTCTAACAATATTCGTAAATGTATGAGGCTTAATCTATAACATAGGGCAATCATGAATTTGATTAATGGAAAGATACACTAGATCACCAGTTTAATTCTTTAAATTTATTATCAATTTGAAAACATTATCGTTGTAATCAATTACTTCATTTGAAGATGCTTAAATAGAATTGCCTTACCAAGACTAAATCGATCCAAGGCAGCAGCTTAATTCTACAGACCAGTAAGAAATATAGTCCTTACTTCAAGTCAATCTGAACAATTTTATAGACCACTACTGGCAATCATAGTGATATAAATATAAAATTCTGATGCTTTGTTAATTCTTATGATGTCTAATTAGTTGGGTTAGTAATTTGGTTTAAAGGTTGTCGAGCAAGTAATTAAGGTAATGTAATAACAAGTTAATTTTTCTTTTGTTAATATATTTGTGCTACTAGACTTTCTTTATAACCCGGTACTGCCGCTACCAGGTAGTATTTTTTTGATTTCCGGAATCGATATTAATGCTGATCTACTATTAAATGAATAATTGTCATTCTAACTACCGTAGAAAATATTACAGTAAGAATATTGTACCAATAGATGAGAGAGATGGCAATCGCGATACGATCCGTTTAATCTGAAATTGATATTAGTTGTATCGAACGATAGTGATTCTTTATCAATATTCCAAATATTTCACTTGGTATCGTTAACTGAGACCAAAAATAGAGTTAAATGCTATGTATTGAATTGTCAAATAATTAATTAAGGATCAAATAATCGGTTCTTTCAACCAAGATAGAGGTTACGGCAATGTCCGCAAGAACAGATACTCTTTGTCATGAAACAAGTTGAATGATTTCAATGTTGCTGCCAGACGGCACTAAAAAAAGTTGGAAAGATAATTATAGCAAGGAAGTTCCAATTCTTACAAAGCCGTAGCCATACCAATTAGAAAGATCAAAGAGTTCCTTCTCATTTGTCAGCTTAGTTTTAAATTGATTGAAAACCAGCGTATAAATTGAGGGTTATGTCTTTACTGAGAGGAGACAGAAGGAATTAATTAAATCTTTGACTTTCCCTTTATTTCCAAAGTAAATTTATTTTGCAGGACAAGTACTAACCATTAGCCTTGTATTTAATAAACGACAGTATGAAAGTAACATGGAAAAACTCCAATGTTTTCTTATTTTCGAGACGCAAAGTAGTTGCTAGTTATTAAAACTGATGGAAAAGGTGATGTCAATCCCTACAAAATATCTAAAGGCTATGAGGAATTGCCGGAATATTTACCAAGTAATATTACTCATGGAAATACAAAATTTTTCACACCAAAAAGAACTTGATTGTAGAAAAATTTTACTTCATTCTCAGTTAAGGCTATATATTGAAAATAGAAATATACCCAATGCAGTAATATAGCAGAAATGAAGGAGAATTGAATAGGTGGCACTTACTGCTGCGAAAGATCGTAGCTGAAGATTCGGAACGATAAATGTAGCCGATTAAATTGAATCAATTAATCAATTAACAATTGTAATAATTAATTGTAGTAATCGATGTAAAGAAGGATGAAGAATATCGAAAATTGGATAATATTTTCAAGTGAAATAATAGTGTATTAATGAAATCTTCTTTGTCTAAAGCTTGACAGTGTCAGTTTAATTTCTAGTCATTAATACCGACAACCTGGATCATTTCAATTTGGTTATAAGCTATAGAATAAATTTGTAGCAGGAAATCTGCTAGTAAATATTAGGATTCTCGCCGGTTATTCCAAATCTAAATCGATTAAGCGAAGATAGGCGTTAGTCCTTTTCAAAAGAAGCATATTAAACCGCTAATTAATATAATTTAGTAATTGTAATGACCGAGTAATAGTCTCCTGCTATTACTGTACTGTAGATTCACGAACGTAACCCAAAATTTAAATTAACAAAATGGAGTAATTCCCTAATGTGATACACGAATTAGCCACCTACTGTACTACTACAATTAGATGAAATTATTACAGTAATTCATCAATTGTAAGGAACTACAAAAAATTTGATAAAAATTACAATTAATGTAGTACTACAAAATCGCATACATGGGTTTGGATAGGATCATTTATTCGAATTCGAATTACGGATTGATTGCAATTTCTCTATTTTATTAACATCGGAGCGCATCGGTATAGGGTACCAAATCTCATTAGGTTAAAATATTACTGACATGGGTGCATCTAAGGTTGAAAAATTGAGGTTATAAAAATGAACTAAAAATGTCTGGTAGAAGCATATCAAACCACTAGTTTAATCATTTTACTGATTTTGAAGCACTACGAGATCGATATAAATTAAATATTATGTAATCGTACAAAATCTGACACATGTGTTTGGGTGTGAACTTAAATTCAAATATGAATTAGCAGCGATTTGTCATCTTTATTAACATAGAAGTGTAATGATTAGGGCACAAAATCTCATCAAGTTAAATATTAACGAGTCTAATGTTAAAAATTGTGGTTATGGAAACAAACTAAAAATGTCTGGTAATAATAAGGGACATAAAGCTTTACTAAAGTGTTTTGGTAATGGATACTCAGCGAATTTCTTACCCTATTGAATGCAATATTTGCTATGCTTCAAGTTTGAGCTTACAAGACTTAAAATACTTCGAAGATGGGAAGACTTACAAACCTTTCTTGTCTAAAAGTTGATAGAGATAATTATACCCTTTTAATAAAGACTAGAATCATAGAAGATTTGTATCTAATGTGATATGGTAAATAATGCACTCTTCGGCGTAAACATGCGAGTTAAAATATAGTACAATTCTCTGGTAATAAATTGCAGCATTTCGAGGAAATTATTACTATCATAATACATATTATGCCTAAATTAAATAATACAACCAGGCCAGCTGTTGCCATAGAAAATAATGTTCTATTTCTATAGTTGCACTTGATCATTGTTGCTGACAGAGCCTTAATCTAAGAACTGATTAATAATTCACATTTAACCAACAAGAAATATGTTTACGACTTTTACAAGATGCTTCACACGTCTACAAGTAGATGTCTAGTATTTGCTAAGCAACGATTAAAAATGGATACATTTTATGACTAAAATCAATTAGATCGATCACACTTATCAGCGCAAAATATTTTAACTAATTGCCAATAGAAAGCTTAACTGCTTTATTACCTATTTTCGTGAATTTTTGAATGAGAACTGTGGTATAGAATTTTAAGTTGGTAGTAGCAAGGACTCGAATGAGCTTTAATATTATTAGAATGTATTTATACTTTTACTAGACTAACAAGCGTTTGCATTGTTAGTTAGTATTATTTATAGCGATTCTTTACATTTAGAGATGAGCAAATCATGGATATTCGTCAAAGTAACATTGACAGCATCATAGTTATCATTCAACTAATCAAAATTTGTGTGTTGGGCTGATGAAACTTGTGCAGCCTTAAGTTTTATTTCTTCGCTCATAGAAATATGAAATGCTTCATATCGGAAATTTCTAACATTGAATTTCTTTCACATCGACATTGAGCACCTCATACCCTTTGTATTAATATAACACGATCCATTTCTGCTAACATGATTTTTATTCATCTAATATACTATATTTATAAGATTATAAGTGTTTTCATGCCATTCTATTAAGAAATTCATTTTTTTCTGAATACAATTTAATTATGTAGCCATAACTACTTATCTCTTTATAGATAGATAAATAACTAGGCTGTCGTGATATATCTTATCCCTCTTAAAAAAATTGCTTAGCATCCGATCGAATACTCAAGCTGATCATGAATATTACTGCTAGAATGATATGATGTACTTGCAGGACAAATCCTTTAAACAGTGACACCCCACTTTTCGTGAAACACAAAAAACACAAATCTTGAGAATATAAGTGATGGTCTTACCAGAATAAGAATAATTTATGATTTAGCATTGTAATCAATCCTATCTACTGCTATGTTAAGAAAGATTGAAATTTTTATTTACGCTAATAAATAGGAGATGAAGATGATTTCTAATTATTAAAATCACAGCTTGGGAAAAATTTGTTATTATTTGTCAGGATGAAGATAGAAATAGCTTTAAGCAACTCTTGATGATAGAGTTTATCAATACAGCCATTCTTGAAATTTGGCTCTATGCGGGTGACACAAATAATATTATCCGTAACTAGTCCGTGATAAAAATTTAATATTCTACTACTAGATTAGTATTTCTGCATTGTATAAAAAAGTAATAGGATAAAATCCAACTAGCGTAATGGCGATGGTACCATGATGTCTTAAAATCTAATCATCAGCGATTTCTAGCCTTATCCTTAGTACTAAAGTGGTGAGAGCAAATTAATACTAGTAAAAACAACATAGTTAAACTCATGTGCACTTCTTACCAATAGCAATGATGATGAGAAAGATGATGTGCATCCTAATTGCTGCAAATGATGGATCTTTTGGATTGCTTTCTGATGTCAATTTTGCATCATTACTATAAAAACTCCATAGTCAGTACGTTGGTCAACTAGGCTTTACTTCCCTCCTTTGATCTGTGCCCGACGTTATTCTAAACCTCTAGGATTAAATCATTAACTTATCACCCTTTTCAATACTGTTTTACAATAAGCCTTTACAACCTTTCATGTATCAATTGTCTATCAATAGCAAATAATATCTACGAGTACCGTATTTATTTAAGTTGCTCTATGACTGGGCAAAATGACACAATGATTACAATGTTGAAAAATGAAGTAATCAAACATTTAACTCACTTTCTAATATTCTAATAACTAGTTACCCTTTCCATTGAATCTCAGCTATCAATAATTAATCGAGATTATCTAGCGTACTAACAATTATATCTGGAGATTAAAATGGGGATATAGGCGTGGTATACCCTAATTAACGATATTGAGGGCATTTCTTCAAAACTATTGATCCTGACTTCCACAATTTAATCTCTGTTGATTTCCTTTTTATACTATACTTCCGCGATCATATCCGCAGCCCACTTCACTATTTTGAATTCATATATAATTAAGAAGTTAAATCAAACTCTTCTACGTGACCCTATCTCGCACTAGCCTAAGTAAACGAGAAGCATACGATTGTTGTTTCAATTGAAAAACTCTTCAGACTATATAATGGCTGTGTTAATCTGTCTCGACATCTCTTGTCTAGCTATATCAATTTTTATTCTTAAAATTCAGGGATGAGTCATTGCTGTTGTTAATATATCACTATCATAGTCATACATAAGCATATTAGAATAAAATTACTTCAAGTTGCCGATAGTGCCTATCCAACATTGTTCGTCGTTAATATCAAAGATTTAAAATTATTTTGCTACAAGCAAATAATATCATTATCAATGATATTTCCTATTTTCGATCCTATCAATTGAATATCATGATACTCCCTATAAAAAGTCCAATCCTTTTCTAATCTTTATCCGTATTTATAGATATTTAGGGCATATAATTAAATGTTACAACTTAAATAGAAAGAATTATTAAAGCATATCAAAGATAAAGATTAGGTTTTACTCCGAAAATGGATCATTATTAAGTGATTGCAGATATGGATACTAAATATCGATTTATTCAATCGAAATATAGCTTCTTGGAGGATAAATTATCCAATAAGTGATAATAAATTAACTTCTTAATAAACTTGATATGACCAGCTGCATGTTGTCAAAAGTTATGCGAACGGATTGCTAACAAAAGATAGAAATTGTGTGTAGGCGTAGGTAAAATTGTTAATTATTGTTGTTAGGTACATTGCATAACCTAAAATATAATGACATCGGGTATAATGTATCTAGGATTCTTATATAGAACATCAAGATAGTTTTACTTCTGGTATTGAATCGCGAAAGTCATTGAAAATTTTCCATAGGTATAGACAATATTGATGATAATTATTAGCAGATACATTGTATAACGGAAGATATAAGAGCATGGGGTATAATTTGTCTACAGAGAATCAAGATGGATTTGCTTGGGTTATTAAATCACGAAAGTAATAATGTGCAATCGCTTATTGTAGAAATGTGCTTAGTAAATACGTAGAGATAGAGTAGAGCAATGCTAAGTACTTGTTACGAAATAATACAGTTGTTGTAGGCATAGTATCGATAAGATCTATCATATCGAATAAGCCTGTTTATTCAGTATATTTCTGCAGTTGTTCTGTAATGATGACGATTAAGTCCTAGATAGCATATCTAAGAAAATAAGTTGTTATCTTATTATGAATAAGATAAGATTATCGTTATCATTCATGGTATATCCGTGTCTGTAATGATGACGATTAAGTCCTAGATAGCATATCTAGGAAAATAAGTTGTTATCTTATTATGAATAAGATAAGATTGTCGTTAACATTCATGGTATGTCCGTTATTGCACATTACTGGTAGTTGTCTCTTATATATAACGGCTCCTAACGCATAATAAAGTTAGTTCGGTACTTAAGCTATATTGGACTCGTGATTGTTCAGTACTCAAGCCCTACTGGACTATTAAATTATTGTTACGATAAACTAGAAAGTGTAACAGTACTGTATTTATCATTCGTTGGATATAGCTCCACTGATATTAAAATAATTATTTACCAAAATGGATACAAAGTAGAAAGATCATTTTATTCTTAAAGCCAAATAAGTATATCATGTAACAAATGTAATTGGCATATTTAGTAGATAGAAGTGATAATACTCGAAGACTCCAGATATAATTATTCAAAACTGACCTCAGTTACAGTGTGGTCATGAAATTCGTAATGGATAAGTTTCTATCATAGCGTAAGTCGATATTCATTAGGATATCTTAAAGAAATTGATAAACTCAATCACTGCTCATAATTTTGTAGAATGCCATCATTTGATAAGTTCAGTTTAATTAAGGTAGCTGATTAGAATAAAAGCGCGACATTTTGCATAAGAATACATTTATTAGGAACAGTTGACACAAGTAAGAAGTTCAATAATTCGATATGTCTATTTTGTAGGTCAAATCATGTAGTCATCATTAATATCCTATCTTTACTATCGTAAATTTAAAAATAGTTGTGGCCTGTCAGTACCATGAATCTGTTGTATCTGATTTAAATTTAAACTATTAATGGATTTTTTACTTGATAATTGCACATATAACTTTGGTTTAGGCAAAAAATCGAAAACCAACACAATCGCTCATAAATTGTAGTATCAGCAAACTATTAATATATGAGATTTCGATTTTGAACTTGCTGCTTTGCGAAATTGCACTTTCTAATCATCATTTCAATCATAAATATCTAAATGTAAAACAGCACTTTAGCCAAGCATTTATACCCCAATTTCCATTTTCAGCAAACATCTACATTTATATGTGTATCATAAATAGTACTACCCTAGCGAACACTGTCGTAACTGCGGAAAGTTGATCACATTTTACCAGATTGTGGCTTCGATAGAGGATATAAAATCAGATTTGCTGACTGAAATTGTTTTATTTGTCTTCGAATTTTTAATAACCGTATAAGAGCTTTGTAATAATTTGCTTTAGCTGCAGATATTACAAATACCGTATAATTAGTTTTAAAATTGCAATTTAATAAATAATCAATAGTAATAATTTAATTTTAGCATCGATAGCAAACTATATAGTAATATGCTATAAATATCCTATAGATCAGAATTTTGCCAGAAGTAATCACAATTAATAGAAGCTCTAAAACAAGTATGATAGATCAAATTAAAATTCATTAGCAGGCAAAACGTGATAAGATCAGCTGCATCCACTTTTTTAAAAATTAATATAGAGTTACATATTGCAGGATTTCTTCAACATCGAGTAATTCTAGACACGAGACGAACGCTGTCTGCTGGATATATAGTTTTCGTGCCAATATATATTGGGTAGTCTGAGCACAGATGTCATAACAAATTTTATAGAATTTGAATCGAAATACAAGCTCATAAGCGTTAGTCAATTTTTCGGCGTATTAATATTTAGCAGTTTTGTAGTTTATTCGGTATAATGAAAGGTAAAATGTAAATGCATACTTTAGGGAATATCAAAATATTATTCACGATATAAGCTTATCTCTTGAAAGATTTACAGCACAAATGTACCGTAGCCTTACTCCATTTATAATAAATTGATGGAAAATTAAATTAAATCGGTAGAAGCTAATGATGTGCAACATTATGCTGATGAGGAATATATTTAAGGTAGCTAAAGAAAATTTTTTCAGGCCAATTTTACCTATAGAATTCTGTCCGGTGTGTTAATCTCAGCGGAAGAGTGTGTGGTTTTCACCTACTTAGCTCTGATTATTTCAAATATAGATCCATTCACCGACTAGTTACATCTTAAAACGTTTAAAGTCGACTTCAAGTTACGTATCTCAATAGTTGCGTCGAGATCATAGAATGAACTATAAATCAGGCTGATAACAAAGTAGTATTCCTACTAAATATAATAATATGCTTTCAGCTGATTATTAATATAAGAACATATTAATTGAAATAATTTTACATAGCAGAGTCTATCTTTTATTATAAAAGTAAAGAGGACATTAATCTATCAGTTCGCTTTTACTCTATGTCATAATCAAACTTCAAGTGAAACTTAGTTACGAAATTTAAAATAGATCATATTTAAGGATTCTATGTAGGCGATTACAAATCCTTTTTATTATAATTTTTAGATATTTCTATTCACTCCTAATTCGATCTTATTTTATCGCATTTGGCTATGAATTTTGGGTTAAAATTCGTGCTTTTCAACCTTATTTTTACTGGAAATTTGAGGTGAGGAAATAGTGTGGCCCCGACTAAACCTAAATTATCCATAAGAAATTAATCTTATTGTTAGACATAGAAGAAGTTGTATATAAGCACCGGATAGATATTACTGTAATTAAGTATACATTATCACAATCATCTTCATAATTTATAGCAATTTACGAATTCGATGATGCTACGGCTAATTAGTACAATACTGCACACTTAGCAAATACTTAATGATGGCTCGTTTTTTAGACAGTATTCTAATCGTAATATAGTCTAGTTTATTAAGTGCAGGCTCATTGTTGGATAGCATTCTAATAATAATATAGTCTAGTTCACTAAGCTCTTATTCAAGCTGAATAATTATGTATATTTAGATAGTATTCTAATCGTAATATAATCTAGTTCATTAAGTTCTTATTCAAATGAGCGATTATGTACAATGGATTAATCTGTAATTATATCACATATGGATATGTTTACACTCTGCACGTAACAAACGCTAATTAATGACTCGTTTCTAAACAGCATTCTAATAATAATATATTTTTTTTCATTAAGCTCTTACTTAAACTGAATAATTTCATGGATAGGATTAAACAATATTTATATGTCATATGAATGTGTTCTGAAAGAGATTAAATGGATTTTAATAGCACAATTACATTATCCGAATACTTACGTTAACGATGTCTGACTTCCTCTTCTGCTATCATTAAGTTGAACTGGAGTCATTGACAGTGGTATATGGCTAATTGGATGGATGTTAGATAAGTGAATATATGCTGATGATGAGTCGCAGCTATTATGACGTGCATTTGGATCAATCTGCTTAAAAAGGTACTTAAAAGCAAATCGGAATTCACGACTGGACCATCCATAGATGATAGGATTGCATGCAGAATTTACGTAGGTTAAAACTACTCCTAACCATTGCAATCCTTTTTGATAAGTTAAACAACTACCTGGGCATACTTGAAGTATAAAGGTGATTATAGTAAATGGTGTAAAACAAAGAATAGCAATACCTACGACAACTCCTAATGTCTTAGCTGCGCGTAATTCGCGCAAAAAGCGTTTACTTTCACGCCCTCTCTCACGATTGTTTGGTATAGCAATGGTAGCAGTATACATTCGTAGCATTTCACGCCGCATTTTAAAATGTTGTCGAGCAGCATGATAGATCCTTGCATTACAAGCAATCATAATTATAAATGGCACAATCAAGTAAGTAGCAAGTAAGATAAATGCTAAAATAGTCCATGTACTGTATGCGTTATAATAAATACAAGATTTTTTAATTTCTACTGCGGCTGGATTATGAGTAAGAACATTGGCAGCATAGCTTGAATTATCGTGCTGCATTGCATAGCTTAAACCAATAGATGGAGTCGTTTTGAATAAATTAGAAGTATGATCGCTAGCCATTGGCTTTCCATGAAATTGAATTAAGTCAATGATCGGTTTAACGGCTAATCCAATACTTAAACACCATATTATTACTATTGCGGCGATGATCCAACGGGAACGAACTCGACGACGATATACATATGCTGATGTTACCGCCAAACAGCGCTCCACACTTATAGCTGATAGCGTTAGTAATGACAAAGATATAAAGAAGAATAATAAACTTTGCCATATGAGACATAAAGTTGTACTTAATATTAAAAAATCCCAGTAACTTAACATAATGATGACAGATAATGGCATGACTACTGTGGCCAGAGATAAATCAGCAAATGCCAGATTTAACACTAAATAAAATGTGGGCAAGTGAACAATATTCTTGCTTTTCAGAACAGCTGCAAAGACAATAATGTTACCTGCTGTCGATGTAAGGATAATTAATCCAATTACTGTTATGTAGAAAATATAGATTCCATTATTAACGGGTCCAATCCCAGATCTGTAAGGTAAAGTATTTGAGCGCGGTGAATTTGTTTCTTGGCTCATATTAGAAACGGGCCTTGTGATGTCAGAGTATGTAATTAAAGTATAGACCGCTTGATTCAAATGATTGCTTACTTGCATCTTAAGAAGTGGTCAATATATCTACTTTACCGACTATTTATTCTGAAAATTTATTTTTTAGAGCTTGATAGATATTTGAGGAAATGCCTACTTACACTCTCTTAGGCTGGCTTATGTTGATATCTCAACGAAAGGTTATTTAATTCTATCTGTCAAATTAATAAGTTCAGTAAATTACAGAGGCGATCGATACTGCTGTTATTAGGCAAATTAAATATGTTTATGAGTAATTATGGGAACTATATGACTTAGTCTATCAATAAACCGCAGGTAGTAACTACATAAAAATTTAACGCAAAACGAACTGTAAATAAAGTTAATCATTAGTGTTCGAGTAGTATCGAACATTAGAATAAGCTGAAATACAATATAGAAATTAATTTTTTCAGTTCTCTAGCAATCGTAAAGTTTACGAATTGCTATGCCCATTGACTTATAGGCAAAGATGAATTAAATCTTCAATAGGTACCAAATGATCCGAATAAATAAAGAACTCTAATTGTAACGGAGAGCTACATATGTAACATTGTTCTTGGAACCTATCCTAGGTTGGTATTTCTAAAAGCGTGTTGAAAATTTATTCCAACGAAAAATCTCAAAAAGTTAATATCTATCTAAAATATTCTTAATACTTTGATATTCTGATATTTATCTTCCGCTTGTGATTGACGTTAGTATTTCGAGTCGAGCTAATATTTTAGATGGCAAAAGCTCGCTGACTGTCAAAAAAGGATCACCAGCAATTATTATTTTCTTAATACTGGAGCAATGACCTAAGCTCTTTATAATTCTTTATGTACTTCTTGATGAGAAGATTTAAAGTGTGGTAATATTTGAATTAATATTTCTGAAGCTGAGAAATATATCAATGAAGTAGCAAGTTAGCTTATCCAAGCTTTGACCTGTATAACGATTGAATCAATTGACCAATTTTCAGTCACAAGTTTTAGTGTAGTACATTTCAAAAATTGAAGAATTAAAATGAAGACGCCATTTGGGATTTGAAATAGCAGCAATATCTATATCATCAACATCTGAGTTTAGAATACCTATAAGTTCTAAAATAAAAATTTTCAAATTTATATTAATTTCAGATAATAGGTTATTAATTTGTTTTAATTTCGATAGATATTTTCAAAATTTGAAGTTGTTCATGTTTTTAATCATGCTAAATCCTATCAAACCGATATGCTGTAAGACAGAACAATACTTTACTTTTTAATCGTTTAATCGAGATATTGACGAGAGCATGATCGGTAAAAATCAATTTTTGACTATCCATGATGCATTTAATGATGTGATATTGCTGCTAAGGAGAGTATTTGCCCGATTGTTATAGGATTTTACAAAGTAATAAAACAAATAAAGCAATAAAATCGAATAAGGCTAGAAAGAAGGAAAAGTCAATCTTTGAACGATTTATTAGTGATTCTGAAAGACATGAATTACAAATAGTGGACGAAATTTAAAAAGATAATTATCAGCACCTCTTCTGCCCTGCTGAAATACGATTTTGAGTGGTTAGATCGAATTCGACTGTAGTTACAAGATTACTACTTAGAGAAAAGTCAAAAAGTGCACAAATGGGCCAGAAAAAATGATAGCAAATTGGCTCCGTTAACAATAGTTAAAATGAATCATGCAAAAGAAATTTAGCCAGCACTTTGAAGATGCCTTTTACTCTGGAACTAGCACGAGTAAAGTAATTGTGGATTATCGATACCATTTTTAAACCAGTACGTGGCATAAAAGGACCCATAAGAAGAAAAAATTGTTCATCTCGGGACCCAATACGATAACCTGAAATTGCTGATGTTCTAGTCATAACAAGATTAGTACTTTTCGATGTGTTTCTTACCCTATTTTGCACCAGCTGAACTATTTTCAGGCCAATCTTGGTTTCTTTGACCAGGATAAATAATATGCTTACAAAGGATGGCTACAAAAAAATGATAGATACCGAGAAATGTAATTTTATAAAATAAGAAAACGAATGCGTGTTTCAGCATCGAAAGGCTCAAATTTGCATCGATCTAGATATGGCAAGATTTAGAAATCGAGATGAATTTATTATCACCTTCAATTAATAAATTAATTATGAACCAGGCTAGTATTCTTCGAAAAGCTATTTGTTATTATTCTCACGACAATTGTGCTAGTCATCGACTAAAGTACATCGTCTCCCTAGTGCCATAAATTATCATTTTTTCTTTAGTTAACTGCGGGACCCAACGAATTTTAAGTATCGTATTTTCTGTCCTATTAGTATAAAAATGGTGTTAGAAAGTGTCCATAACTATCTCATGGTTAAGATCTTTTTAAAAAAGAAGTTTTAACCGAATTGTAAAGTCGCTTTCTAACATTAATTCCATTGTAGACGCAATCGTTTATACCTTGTTACGCTTTTGCAACGTCATTAAAAATGTCTGAATGGCAATCGTCCATCAATAATGGGCATTTATAATTTGTGTCAGCTTTGAGTTATGATCTATTCAATACTTTGTTTGCTTATCATTACTGTTGGAAAATATAAATTTGAAAGAATTATGAGGCGAAGAACAAAAAAGTCATTATTGGAATAGGACCCAAAAAGCGCTAAGCAATTTTCTTTCAGCATTATCGGGTCATAGAGGACATTTGGCAATAGAAGCAATAGTTTGAATTGAAATTATAAATTTCCATATATATTAACTTTGCTTCAAGGATAAGTGAAATTGCTATGAAATTCATTTTAGGTCAGAAGTGTTGTAAAGATTATCTGCCGTTGATTTAAATATATTAATAAATAATAAAAGCAGGAGTAACTTAACTTTGACACTTTAATAGAGACAGCAGTATTATTGCCCACTCATTTAAAACAAATGTCTGTTCGAAGGAGTCTGCAGCTATTTCTACCGGAAAATCGCTTTGACTAAGCAAGTAAATATTTTTCATCCCGAAACTTGAAGGAAATGAAATAGTTATCTGAGCGCATGTGATGTACTAAATTTCCGGAAAGGATAGCTTCTAATATCCATTTGGAAAACATTGCCGTGAATGATTTTTGCCGTAAATGGCATCGGTAGATCACATCGTATACTTAATGTTAGGGTTACTTAACTGTATTCTATATGTTTTCTATTGCTTAATTAAGTAAAATGGAATAAAATGAGTGAAATGATAGCAATTTTTAGATTAAAAGCAACTCAATTAGACGTTGTAATGTTTTCGTACCATAGTGTTACGTTAATGAATTTTTTATTCATGAAACGTAGTCATTAAAATAATCATCCAGATAATGATAGGTTTGAGAGATAATTAATATTGCAATAGTGATAGATTGGCAAACGATTATATTATAATGTCATAGCGCTTCCATTTTTCTAATTATAGGCAATATCAACAATTTTATTGCGTGTAAATATCATTAAAATGATCATCCAGATGATGATAGGTTTGATAGATAGTATTACCATAGTGCTAGATTGGCGAACGAAATATCATGTCGTAGCGCTTCCATTTTGTAACTATAGGCAATACAAACAATTCGATTGTATTCATGAACATTATTAAGATGATCATCCAGACGATAGTGGGTTTAACAGAAAGCTAGTATTTCTATCTTTTAAATTGATTAACGATTCCAACGTTTTTGGTGATAATAACTCACTTTCAAAGTGAAGTAATTCTATGTTTACAGTCATCTATAACAAAATGAGATTGTTGCTAGGATTATATCATAAAGCATAAAGCTAATGATTTCACTTTTAGCCACATTTTTATAGGTTTGAAAAATAACTAGTATTCAGATAGTGCTAGATTAGTTAACGATTATGTTACGAATAAGCCAAGTTCATTATCTAAAGCGCGAATATTTACTCAAATGATCGGCAATATTATATAACTTACTTTCAAAGTAAAATAATTCTATATTTACAGCCACCTATAATACAATGAAATTGCTGCTAGGACTATGCCATAATTTATAGAGCTAATAAGTTCACTTTCGGTCACACTCTTTTATGCTTATGCTATATTGAACAACAATTGCAAGGGCAATTTTTTAAATAAAAATTAGATCTATCATTAGGGACACTACAAGTAATAAATGTGTAGAGACGGCTCCTAATATCCAGATATTTCTAAGCAAACAGTAGAATTTAAAAATATAAAACCTCCGTAATAAGGTATGTAACGTGTATGCAATGAATTAGTAATAAATGTAACTACTAGATTAATAAAACTGAATTAAACTTTACTAAAACAACACCCAAACTGTAGGCGTAGCTATAAATAAACTACCGTATATTTTCATGTTCGAAATTCACGAAACTGCGGATACATATATCGATATTTAATTAACTTATAGAGCGTATTTATTGACGTTTAAAATCTCTCAATTTTTTTTATAAAAGTTAGAGTACTATTATCTTGTGAATTTCAAAAAGTTATTAATTTATGCCAAGACAACTACAATATTTTTAATTTAAGAAAAAAAATTAACACTAATCTACCTTAAAGTAATCTTTATCGATACTAGTACTTTAATAAACTCGGTTAAACTACCGCACATGACTATTTACTGTACTAACTCATGAGCGCCCGCGATAGCTTGTTATCTATTTAGGAATCCGTCTCGATAAATCATACCCTTTATATTTGCATTAACTAAATTGCACGCGATACTAATTTTATCTCAATATTTAAGATAACTATTTTCCTAGACTACTTAGCCTATGTTATACAATTGTGTTATAGTGCTGCATGTAATATGGATTAGTATGAAGTGTATGCCTATTAACTGTTCCTAATCTTTCTTACTTCGAAGAATATTACATTAGCAACTAGCATCTAATGGCCAACAAATTTCAAAGCATTCATTTTAAAAGTCGATTCGGCCTTTAGTTTTTCACTATTAGTTACACTGTAATGTACCTTAAGAT